ATGTAGGTGATGGGGAGGAAGGCAGCAAATCACACTGCCACGTGTGTTCCTATGCAACAATTTTGCATGTTCTTCACATGTACCCCAAAACCTAAAATGCAATAAAATAAATAAATGGGGAAAAAAAAAAAAGAAATCCGATGTCAATGGGAAAAGATCATACTGTAAAATAAGAAATGTTGGGACAACTGGTTAACCAATGGAAAAATAACTATAATCAGATCCCTTCCTTACACCAAAGCTAGAATAAGAGTCAGATGAATTAAACAATTAAATGTTAAAAAGTAAAATTAGAAGATGTAGGAGAATATCTTTAAAATACAAGGTTAGAGAAAGTATTCTCAAACAAGATTTTTAAAAAGCCAAAAATCAAATATTTATCAACTTGATTACATGTAAACTATACTTTCGTATAACAAAATGACCACAAGCCATGTTAAGAGAAATAGATTGGGGGAAAAAAAAAAACCTCAAGAACTACAGACACTAAAAATAACTCCTATATAAATCAATTCAAAAGAGGCAAACATAGTAGAAAAGTGTTAATTAGGCCATTTCAGAAGAGCAAATATAGACGGTCAATATTCATAAAAAGACATTCAGCCTCCCTGGTAATCAAGGAAATGTACATTAAAACTCTGGTAAGATACAGTCTTCCATTCATCAGATTGGCAAAAGTGTTTAATGTCTAAAATGATGAGGAGAGGCAAGTATTCTCATTCTGGGAGTAGTATGAACAGGTAACAACTACTTGGGAAAAGAAATACAACAGTATCTTTAAAACTAAAAATGGGCATACCTCTGACCCTAGCCCTTCTACTCAGTACCTATGCTAAAATGCACAAATTCACACAAGCTACATGTCCATCAATAAGGTAAATCTGGTATGCATGTAGCAGTTGAAATAATGAGCTGAACGGAAATGTAGTGGTATGCCTAAATCTGGAAGGCTGTGTAACGTGTGTAACAATTTTTACCTCTGGAGAGATTACCTTTAAAGTTGGAGTGGTGGTCAAGGGGGACTTTGGTCTTATTTGTATTAAAGATGTAAAATATGTAACATTTTAATTTTATATAACAACGAATTCAGAAATGATGTATTTAATAGTTTATCAAAAAATAATGGGCACAGGGCATCTGAACTCCAGTCTCGTTTTTGCCACCAACTGGCAACATCATCTTGAACAATTCTTTTAATCCATCTTTCTCATCACTAATGTGGAAACTATGTGCGATCACAGTTTACGGTGAAAAGTGGAGTTGCCAACCTGGCCTGACGAAACAGTCTACTACCTTTCTGAGACTTTTTTGTCAATATATGACAGTAATTTAATTTCAATATATTTGGTCCTTTTGTACATCTGAAATCACATATTTTTTTTTCCCTCCCCCAGATACGGAGCAGTTTCAGCGGGAATGTTATGTGCCCTTACCACCCTGTCCCAGCAACTGGAGAATGAAAACGCTGTGGATGTTTTCCAGGTTGCAAAAATGATCAATCTTATGAGGCCTGGAGTATTCACAGACATTGTAAGTAGCTTGCTTATGTATAAAACCTGTACTGCATCAGTTGAAACTCAAGACTCAGAGTTTGGAGCAGTAGTTCTCAACTGGGGATGATTTTGGCCCCCAGGGGACATTTGTCCATGTCTGGAGACTTTTTTGCTTGTCACAACTGTAGATGGATGGCATCTAGAGCATACAGGCTAGACATGCTGCTAAGCAAACTGCAGAGCACAAGACAGCCCTCAACACCATACAATTATCCAGCCCAAAATGTCAGTAGAGCTCAGGTTAAGAAGCCCTGCTTTAGAGGACAGTATTCTCTGGTTATCTTGATGAACTATCAACATTGAGAATTGGTTCCAAGCTAACACAGATCAAAAAGGCATGAAGAAGGTATAGGTCCTGATTCTAATGGATTAAAATGATTTTTTTTAAGTTTCTTATATTTATGCTATTGCTGTTTCTCTGGTGCGTTTTTCACATTTACCATTTTAGTTGGTATTTCCACCTTATATGAAATGACTAAGCTGTTCTTTGGCTCAAACTGTCTTCCTCTTGTTTTTCAGGAACAATACCAGTTCGTCTATAAAGCAATGCTCAGCTTGGTCAGCACTAAAGAAAATGGAAATGGTCCCATGACAGTGGACAAAAATGGTGCTGTTCTCATTGCAGATGAATCAGACCCTGCCGAGAGCATGGAGTCTCTAGTGTGACTGGAATCCTGAAAGGGCACTTAATTTGTAAACTTCTGAAGACTGAGAACTTTTTTGAGGCCTTTTTTGCCAGACTCTAGGTTATACAATAACCCAGTTACTTTTTTACACTGATGAAAGTTTTGATATTTATTTTTTGCCATTTTATGTCTTAATGGTATCCTACTGAGCATTTGCACCTCTGTTCATTTCACACAATGACATGCAATTTTACCTAGTTTGCACTATATGATCAGTGTTACTGCCTATAATCTTATACAACAGCAAACCCTGATGTGACATTCCATGACAACATACATGCTACTTTTTTTTAGTTCAATACAGTGAAGGTCTTTGTAATGACAGTGAATATTGATTTTATAATTATTATTGCTAAAGCAGTTGCATTCTACTAGCAGGCAATGCTGTACTCTTCTTCAATCCTCCTCTCCTATTTTTTTAGGCACTGTTCAATACTGTATGCCTTCTGTATTTTAATGGAGTGGATAGCATTGTTTTCTTTTACAGACTAGCAGGCTACTGGGAGCTAAAAAAGGTCTGTTAATGTCATGGCCTTGAAACAGTTACATTTTTGATGGTTAAGAGATCCATTAAGAAGTTAGAAGGCTTAAGAACTGCTTCATGTGAACATCCCTTATTAGTTACAAAGTTATATTCACAGTTTTTAAAAAATGTGTCAAAATAAAGGATAACTCTATTACAGCTTTCACAGTAGCTATGTGGACAACGTGTGTTATTTCCATTTTGACTCTCTAAAATAGCTACGTCCTAAAATCAGGGCTATCTTTGACAATAGCGAGATGGCAATATTAGATACAACTGAGTTGTGAGACCCTTTAGTTACTCTCCATTAATGCTTATTGGTTTATAATACCACACCTCATAGTAGGTAGAAGAATGAAAAATTTGCAGGTGTTTAATTTTGAAACAGTCCTTTTAAATTTCCCTATTACTCATATAGCAATCTAATAAAAATTACCTACACAGTTTCTATTCTTTTCTTTCCTTCTTTGCCAAATATTTTATAATAAATCTCTTAATTATATACATTATTCTACTTAAGATTGAATTGGAAATACCATATTAGCAAAAGTCTTGGGACTATTTAAATCCCACACATAGATAAATCTGATTTGGAGAGAGAAAATTAAAATATTTAATTAAAGTTGATACCCATATTTGCAAGGTTTTAAAAGAGGGAGATGGCTTTGTATGCTTTTGTGTAGTTTAGTGTCAAGAACAGATACACATCAGTAAAAGATACCAATAATCATTAGAGCCCAAGGAAGTTATTTGGTGCAACCTCTGGAGCCATATTCACCCTGCAGTACATAATGAGAAAATTAGGAGCATTAATAAGAAATTTCAGTAGTGTTTGTCAGAAAAGCTACTTACTGAGATCTGTTTCTTCTATCACACGTTTGCTTTTGAGGGACAGCTTCTGTCAAAAGTGAAATCACCACCAGAACTGGGCCTGTTAAGAAGAATAGGGTTTTGTTTATTTTTTTATGTCAATTAACTTCAATACAAAGGCCACGCTGACTGCTATCCTGCCATCTGGGTAGGCATTAAACATTAATGATGATCAGCCCCGAGGTTCTATTTATCTTGAGTTATCTTTCATAATGTTTGTCAAAATGGTGCTGGAGGACCAGAATGGCTAAGGAGAAAGAGGCTATGGGCTGTTAAAAGAATTTGAATGCAAAGGCCAGGTCAGTGGAGTTTTCATGAACCGCGTAACTTAACAGGGTTAATCTCATCTTTTCAATACATAGATTCAACAACTTGGAATACTCTGCTTTTCAAGAGCTGTATAAGCTAGTCTTGAGAAAAGATGTTCAAGAGAGAATGCTCAGTTGCATGTGCTAAATGACAGACACCTTTACAGCCCCTCTGCTCCCACCACAGGTAACACAGAAAGCTCTACCTAACACAAGTAAAGAGCTTGAACACAGTACCATTGCAACTGCCAGATGCTGAGGAGAATCAGGAAACGAATGAGCTAGACTTTTTTAGTGAATTTAGTGGGTTATTTTAGTTGTACAGAGAATTGATATGAGTTAACTCTTTTTTAATAGATGGCAAAGTGGGCTTGACGTTCAAAAGTAATTTTCGAGTTAGGGTTCACGGTCCCTTTCTCAGTAATTTTTTCTTAATAAAAGTAAATATTGGTTCAAAAACAAATGGCAAGTATTCCCTTCTGTGCTATTTATATACTCAATTCATGGAAAGGCGTACCCTCTAATGCAATTCTGTGGCTATCTCTTACAGTGGTTTCAGAATCATGATAAAACAGCTAGTAAATAGAAACAATAAAAGAAATAGTTTAGAAGTTCCCTGTGAGCAATCTGTGTGTCTCCAGTGAGCTTGAACCAAAGTCTCCATATCCTGAATTATAAGCAATTGCTACTTGCCCATCTTGCCAAAGTGGTCCAAACACACTTCAGTGAGGACAGTTATATTTAGCAGGTCCTCACCCCTGCAGCAGAGAGCATATCCTAACTATCATTATTCATATGTTATTGGCAAATACATAGCTTGTATCTTTCCAGAGGCAGAGTTTCAAAGACAGAGTTTTCTTTGAGACATAAGTACGTTGCTTAAGTACATAACAAGATTATTAACACTTGCACTCAGGGGAAAGGAAACAGCTATTGCAAAGGAAACAGCTATTGCAAATTAATGTGTGCTGCTTTATAAAACAAACTGTGTATATGAATTTAGCACCACGTAAACAAAATGCGCACATCATATAAAAATGAATTGCAATGATTAGACCAAGAGGCTGTGCTGGACATCAAAAAAAAGACATGTTGTTGCCATCTGGAGAACTCTTTCTTACATCTGATAGCCAAGATATCTTCCTTAATATGAAAAAAGTTAGATTCTGATTTTCAAAAAGCATAACATTAGCTAATTGGTCTTCCTAATTTTTATGCCTTTAGAGTTGTTGGAGTCTATTTCAAGTATAAGAGTCCAGCAAGGTCAAAGAAAGGTTATGGTGTTCAAGGTCCGGCTGTTGGAGTTTTTAGCCCAGAGTGACATATTGAAATCAGTACATAATTTTAATTATCTTATAATGACACAGCACAACTGCCTTGTTATGAATTTTTCTTAAATGCATATATACTATATTTAAAATTAAAATATAGATACCAGTTTACCAAAGATACATATTACTAATTCTAAGCAAAAATTTTTTTAAAAACCCAAACTCATCATAATTTAAGAGTAATTAAAATGTAGTTTGTCTTAAGAATTTAGCAGTTATACTGGAAATGCATTTTCAACTCCTGTGTTCTAAAGTTTATGTTCAAATGGTGCCAGTGAATTTTTATATGAAGGGAAAATGCCTGCTTTTTTTTTTTTTTTTTTTAACAGCTGTAATTTCACTTAACCCTTCGTGCTTTCCCTTAGTTGCCATTTAACATACGATACTGGCTTTACTTATCTCTAGAAAGAAGGCATGCTACAAATAGGAAAGAATTGTAATAATGATATTTGGCCTCTACTTTGTCTTAGCTGTTAAACTGTTTTTAGTATTTTTGTTAAATATTTGCAAAGGGAAGCATTTTCTACAGAGGATAATTAATTTCAAGAAAAATATCTTGAGTTTTAAAAAATAAACATCTCCAGAAAAGGAGACAGTCAATTTTATAAAATGTCGCAACTCTCCAACATTTGGGGTAGTGACTCCTTTTTTGTTAGGACATTTGAAACTAGCAAGCAGCCATTGTTTCTAAAGAATTCTGCCTTCATGTTGACTCATGATTCTTTCACTTCATTTTGAAATAGCTAAAAATCATTAAAACTGTAAATATTTTGTTGCTTGGGTAAGCATCTTCTGGGAACTTTGTATCTATGGTATATAATCATAGAATTTTATATTTTCATATAAAGCTAATTTTTTTCTAGTTTCAACTCCGTCATAGTTTTTTTTTCCTTTTTGTGGTGGATATGTGAATTCAACTTTCTGTGTATTGAAGTAGCAAGAACCATCTTTGCATTCCAAAAGAATCCAACATGTGTTATTTCTTTGAGGCAGTGATTGTGAAAGTTGGGTTTTCTTTTTAATTCCATTGACCATTTGTGCAATAGGAATTAGACATAGTCACTGAATACATTTGTCACATTGACCCATTTGGAAAAAGTGTGCTTTTTTTTTTTCTTTTTCATTTGTTCGGGGGGAGGGGTTTTGTAACCTGAAAATTTTCCCTTTTCCTTCTGTTTAAACTATATCAAATCATTCTATTATAGTGTTATTTAATATGTAAATTGTATTGCTATACATAAAATAAAGTATGGTTTTTGATGTATTCAGCCGTGTTGAGCATTTCTTTGAAAATGTTTATATCCAATAAAATCAGGTTACCAGTCTCCCTTAACAGATCACATGAATACCCACCAACCCTCTAAGTTTTCATGTTATTAAAATGAACATTGGTAGTCATCTTTAAACAGGCAGCAAACCAAAAAGAAGGGTCTTTGCTGGGTTGATTTAATCAATGCTCCTTCTCTGTTAAAGAGTAAAAAATGACAGTTTTATCTGCTTGTCTAAGAAATCAAACTTGATTCACTTTATGACTCTGCTGCTAAGTTGTAAACAGAATTACTATTTTCTCTAGTATATTAACTAGATTTGTAACAACTCTCTTAATATTTACTATGTAGGATAAAGGATATATCCTGGCAAGACTTCTGGAGAATCTATATGTGTAGGATCAGTACAATTGCTTTTGCTTAACATGGAATTTTGACATTTCCAAACAGGTACACAAGTACCAAACTTGGCAGCTTTGGTCTACCATTCTGTCTTAACTTTTAGTGACTCCACATCAGGTGGTCAACTCTTCCTACCCAGGCCCCAGTTTTTCTTCCCATAGAGATAAGAGCTGATACCTCACTCTCGCCAAGACATGAGGAATTCAAGAAAAAGTGTATGAAGAGTACGTGGAAGAATGATGCTAGCACAAAAGAATGAATCTCTTAGGATATAACCCTAGTCTTCCTCAAACTGTATGCATGGGGAAACTACTACCCTATATCATAGGATTTACCAGAGGTTCACAAATTGACGGCTGGTAGATTGCGTTCAGTCCACAGATACATTGTATTTGGCTCATAATTTTAAAATTTGTATTAGTTACCAATATTTAACAAATGAAACTTTTGCACTTAGGTTCAAGTCTCAAGCTCCTTTAAAAAATTTGGGTGTTGGTGTAACAGGCTCACACTCTCTCATGGCAATAAAAAGGTGGAAATGAACAGTAGTTGTCCTATTTAGATGGAATATATGCTCTCCAGTTCACCAAAGTCTACATTGCTCCCTATCACCTTAGGCCTAGCCATTATCAGTCATTTAATTAACTTGTCTGGATCCTGTGAGCAGTTGCCTCTGGGATGCCCAATAAGAATTTTGACACCATCTTCCATCTCAGTCTAGTAAACCAACAACCAAGTGTGGCAGTAGAAGTACAGTATCTCTAAGTCTTGCATCATGAAAATCCTAGACAACCAGCATGCAACACAGTGGGTTCCCACATTATTCACTGCCACTAAGTCCACTCAAGATGATTCCATTAAGCAGCAGTTATGACTATTCAAAAGTATTTTAAAAATGAATTTTCTACTCCATGGCTTTTACTGCCCAGGACAAAACCCTAGATGAGGAAGCTTCAGGTATGCTACTACAAATGGCAGAAAGAAACCAGAGTACAAAAAGCAACTGGTCCAAAACTCTATTTTTAAACCGCTAACTGTGGAACTTTAAGATTTAGAAACAAATCACTACTGACCATGCCTGGATTCAGAGACAGGATTGAAGATGATGGCTTTAAATTTCTGCCTATGTTAGTAAAATCACATAAAGGCACTAGAAGATGGTAACCAGAAGTTGGTTACTAGCAAGTTAAAATTGGCTTTTGTGATTATGAAGTTAAGTTTGGCAGAAAAGGATAATTACAGCAACAGTTAATCTGAATGTAACAATTATGTTGCTCAAAAGTTGAAAAGAAAAAATTAACTTCATCTAATTTGTGGTAATTTCAAATCATTTGACTTGTAGTTACTGGTCTACAAACTAATTACTTTCCCTTTCCGACACCCTGCGCTTGCAGGGTGTAAAGGCAGGCTTTGTGGCAATATCCAGTAGGCCTTGCAAAGCTTCGGAGAACATTCTGAACCAGAGACATCTTTAGCACTATGTTAGGATCCATTCCATAAGCATTTCCTGCATGTCTACTACAGACCACATGTTAGTTATACTCTATATAGAATGTAAAGTTGTTGGCAGAGGCATTTCAAGTCAGATGAGACAAAGATGATAATTTAGTCTTAAAAAAATTAGTTCTTCAATTTATTCCAAAATATTTAGTTGGCACTATAGTAGAGATGGGTTTTAGGGAGAGAATAAAAAAAGACTATTGTGCACCAATGTGAGCAAACAAGTAAAACCTGTAATCACAGACACTCTCT